TGTCTGTGCAGTCTAAACAGTGAACATAAGAATTATCTCCAGTGACAGACTGTAGCGGCTAGCCTCCAATAGGTAGCTGGCACTAGTCGCTACTGCTTGTTTGACAGGTGCCGCCAGAACCCCTTTTGTGTCATGCTATAGATGCACATGCCCTATTCTGGGGCATACTGAGGTACTTTGATTTTGTTGACTGCATGTAGACAGCATCCAATAGTAGTACTCGTAGACCTTGGCTCTTTGTAGGTCAACCACCAACGCATGGATCGATCGGTGACTATGCACTTGGAGGTTGGAATAGCCCGCGCTGAACAGATCTTGCCATGGCCCAGGGAGTGAACTCGCTTACTCGACTATCCTGGCTTTAGTTAACCAGCATGAGTGGTGCAATTTGTCCATACCATGTTGCGAGCTCACAGTTGTTTGGGCAGGTTTTGAGCTGCACCACGAAACAATGCGAAATAACAGCGTGACTGTAGAGCAAGGAAGCGGCGAGACGGCACTTCCAGGACGAGACAGGCAGTAGAGATGTGTTCACAGCACGAGCAACCTCTCAAACCCTGCCGGTACTCCACAGTTACAAGAAAATGTCGGACTGGACGACGCGCCAATGCAAACCTGCTACATCCACCCAGGCAGATAGCTGCCAAACCAGGCCAATGTCGACCCACTGCATACCGGTATGCCAATGTCAAACAGATCCTGCAGGAGAAGACTGGGATGATATTGGCGTCCAGTGTACGGACACCACTCACATTTCCTGCGTCTTTTGCAGCATACAGGATAGACTCATCACTGTAAAGTCCACAACTTCGTGATTTTTATTTGTAGAATACATGACAGGCGTATTCAGTGTGCCTCGCAGGACTGCGAGATGCTGCAGAAGACCAGGTTCGACCTTTCTGGACCGCCATTCACCGACGGTGGGCTACACGATGCTGGAGGAACTACAGTCAGTATCGCCTATAGCGTTGGTGTTTGATTTTGAGCATTTTATCACTATAAGCGATATATTACTATGACCGATACTGCATGCAATGTATGCGAGTGGGGTGTCAAACGACTCAGCGCGCCGTGCACATACGCACTACATACATGTACAATGTCATGTAGCTGGCTGTAGCTCCTGACACACAAAATCAGGATTTCCTCATGATGGAGGCATATTTTGGCAACTTGTACAAGCAAAACTCACCAAACAGCACTCACTGGACAAGTTCTTCACGAAGAAGTTACACCCTGTTCTCCTCTGACATCGATTGATTTTATATCAATCACTATAACCGATGCAAAAATAGTGTAATAAAGGTCTTTTGAAATATGAATTTGATCACTATAGGCGATATATTACTATAGACGATTATTACTATACGCGATAACTGTGCATACTTAGTTATGGCAAATGAAAATGAATTTGAGAAATCGATCACTATAGCCAGTATATTACTATAGCCGCCAACCTTATAGGCGATACGGACTGTAGATTCCAGTGAAAACCCAAGATTCCTTTGCTCCTGGACGCTCCGACGTGTTGTGATATCTGCCAGGTGCGCAGTAAGGCCACACTGAAGAAGGTCTGTGGTTCGACTCACCCGACCGACCGTACATTTTTCAGCCCGACCGTAACTTTTTTTCGGCGGGCTGTCGTGTGACTGACGTACGTGGACTGAAACACGTCCACGTCTACGTGCTGTGCAGCGTGAGTCTGCGGACGCAGGCGGCTCCTTTTGGACTTGACTTGTAGTTGTACTGCAGTGCAGTGCAGTGAGTGGTACGACTGCTGCCTTGTGCTGGTAGTAGAGTCTACTCGATACGACCACCGGCAGACTGGCGAGACTTATTTTGAAGTGACCGTCCGGTTGAGAGTGATTGCCTCGTTCCAGATTAAGGACGGCCTTCTGTTTTGGGATGAAGGACAGACGAGATTGCACTTTCCTCGTGTATTGGGAACGATATTTCACCTGTACCGGTAAGTTGCTGCTCCATGTGTGCAAGCACAGGAAGCGTCGATGGAAAAAGCCCATGTATTCGTGCACGCCGACACCAAACTAGCAATACATGTACCGGTACATTGTACAATTTGTACTTCGAAGTAGTTCCCGAACTTACTTTCAACTCGCATCGTTCTTCATTTGCTTGATGATTTGGACAGTCAGAGTCACCGCTTGAAGTTATTCTCTTCTCGTTCCAGAGCTACACAATGTTTCAAAGTATTAGCCAGTGATCCCTTTATACAACATGTATGGCATAACACTGCGTAATAATGCCGATGTACTGGGTGTCTAAAGGCAGTACAGTGTATTTACATGTACTAAAAATATATATTAAAAAAAAAAATCCGCCCGCCCGCCCGTAAAAAAAATGTCCATGTTAGTCGAACCACACACCTTCTTTAGTTTGGCCTAACTAGTATTTTCATCGCTATAGCGAGGACGACGCCGATCGGCAAACTCTCGCTCACAGCCATCACCAGCCTCTCAAAACCATCACTTGGCATCCCCAGAGGTATAGGAGAAAGCCAAAACAGCTCTCAACAAACAAAAGCTAAGTACGATGGAAAGAGAGCATGTCAAAAAGAAGACGAACAGTATGAAGTTCAAATGGGTTTGAACACTCGTACCACCAACTATACCACTTTCAATAAATCGTGACGCCATTTTGTTTTAACACGCATACGGTCCATTGGAAGGGACTTTGCTCTGGGCATGGAAATGCTGTCGTTATTCGCGAATTGTCGTTATATCCGCAGTCGTTATTAGCGAAGTTGACTGTACATGTACACGTGTTGTTTGACTCGAAAACAAACTTCAGCACCACATCGAATTTCTCTAGAGTAACTAAGATTAGTAAGAATGGGTAAACGAGTCACCTACATGTACACGTACTCGTTCTCTACTAGTTTTAGGAGTTGTTAAACTACTTCTCGATTTTTTCCTCGGCCGAAAAGTCGGATAGGGTGGTAAGATTATGCATGTCCGATACACAACACAGCATGACATTGCCACATTGAAATCCGGAAAACAATTGCTCGAACGCACTCAGCCCGCCAGTCAACTATTGTTTCTTCAACATTCATCTTCTTTTTTGTACATACATAATTCTCTTACCCCAGTAAGTTTTGATAGCTGTATGATACAGTTGCACAGTGAATAGAGATGTTCAGCACTGCGCAGATTACCACAGCAACACTGTTGTGAATGTAACAAACTATTATCCACGTCAGTAGCCAATAGTGCACCTTCTCAGCGATCGACGCCAGGATAAGGAATATTCTTCAACTGATGATATAAACCAGCGAGTGCCACCAAGTCCTTTCTGACCTTAGCATAACAACACGCTAGCGCTAGCTGGTGATCTCATTATGAAGGCGAGATCGAGGTGCTCTTGTTGTTTCTTGTTTTTGTTTTTTTTGTCCTTGTTTTTTTTAGCGCAAATGGCCAAAATTTAAAGGGGAAGTTAAGGCAAAAATTAAAATTTCACCAGTTGTAGTCTTCGGGGTGCTGAGTCGAATGGTCTTGGTCCGAGGAAGCTGAGACGCTCCCTTCCTACTTGAATCCCAATCGAACTCGCGCACTTCCACCGAAACTGGGTGACTGCGCCCTACTAGATGGGGATTTGTATGCAAAATGTCACTAAAAGCGCCATTTCGTTCTTATAAAAGCACGGATGACCGCGATTGGCCCATATGTTGTAGTCTTTGGGACGCTGAGTCGACTGGTTTTGGTCCGAAAAGGCTGCGATGCAGCGTTCCTCCTTTATTCCCAATCGAACATGGTTGAAGAAGCGGTCACGTGGTCCTGGGTGCCCAAATCACCTGGTCACCACGCCAGCAGGTGACAACTTTCACACCAAGGTTCAACTCGAGTTCAACTCGAGTGACAGGACTGCACCCAAAAAAGGTCAAACAGGCTAGTAAGTTGTACCCTGCAGGCACGGTGACCAGCTGACTGGTGTACGCAGGAGCACGTGACCGCTTCTTCAACCATGTTCGATTGGGAATAAAGGAGGAACGCCGCATCGCAGCCTTTTCGGACCAAAACCAGTCGACTCAGCGTCCAAAATACTACAACATATGGGCCAATCGCGGTCATCCGTGCTTTTATAAGAACGAAATGGCGCTTTTAGTGACATTTTGCATACAAATCCCCATCTAGTAGGGCGCAGTCACCCAGTTTCGGTGGAAGTGCGCGAGTTCGATTGGGATTCAAGTAGGAAGGGAGCGTCTCAGCTTCCTCGGACCACGACCATTCGACTCAGCACCCCGAAGACTACAACTGGTGAAATTTTAATTTTTGCCTTAACTTCCCCTTTAATTATTTGCAAAAAGGCTTTTGATAACACACGCGTCATCACTCACTAGCACTGTCTTGTCAAACCTCACGGACACCTGGACACGAGACTGTAGTGTAGTGTAGCGCGCGTATAATCATAACAGTCGGTGCATGCATAATCTTCTCTGACTGCTGAGTTGGCGCTACCCCAAACAGATAACACGTCACAAGCCGCACTCCTGAAATTACGGTAAACATGTATTCATCCGGATAGACCCCCTCCCGGTACATCCAAGTCAAATATTCAATACGAGATCAAAGAGAAAAAAATTATTCAAAAAATCGAGCATCAGTGATATCCTGGACATCCGTACACTACATGGCATGTACTGATTTGTTGATGCGAAACAAGAGACCATTGCTAGTATCGGTCTATGTTAATTCTATATCCTCATACGAACAAGCCACATCACCGGGCTACAACACACTTGGTTGATCACAATCCGATCTCACATGGTCGTGCTGTGCAGCCTTACAGAACCCCCCCCCCCCCCCACACACACACACACAGATCATGGCAGACACTACTACCTTTTAAGTTTTAAACATGTAGCTCAGTCAAAAATATGGATCCTGGCTACTCCAGATGCTACACAACTATCTGTACTACGTGTACTATGGACAATGGAAGCTGAAAACACACATGTGGAGAATTCACAATAATAATATCAAGGTACATGATTGTACAAGCACGCACAAAGAAGAAATATGGGAATTGAATGCACAGATACGCAAACATTCACGCACAAACTCAACAATGCCTTGATTTCAAAACACAATTAACATGCATACTGCACTAGCACTAGTAGCACTACCCTCTCACATTCGATGTACTTCGTTACTCAGTTACTCAGCCAATACAGTGGAATGAAACAAGACGCAGCACCAACTTCCTCGGTGTTCTGGTCAGCAGAAAAAGAAAGGAATCGGAGGAATAATAACTTTAAAAAATCACAAGATGGACACCAAATTCCAGTCTCCCATGATATTATCACACACTTCTTGCACAATTCGGCATAGTATTCTGCTGTTCAGAGATACCTGAGAGAACACAAAAGACCCACGCAAACAGCAATTACAATTATTTTAATTTATTTAAGATCAGGAAGTATTACACAGCGCACTCCACTCTCTATGGCGGTTATCAAGCTTCTTTCTTGACGAGGCTAGCCACATGTACGTGTATCTCTGTGTTAATACTGACTGTAACGTCAGCAAGAGTACATGATGCAGTGGAGTGTGCAACTCTGGAGATGGGTTTGGAACCTTTGGGGCCAGCAGAATTCCTCGGTTACATTTATTTTGATTAGTCATGGAAGCCGTGACCCTCTTTTCTAATCTTGCCCTGCATCAATAAGACCTGCGAGAGCAGTTTTTTTAACGTACATGTACTTGCAAGTACATTTACTTGTGCATAAAACATGATGTCAAAAATTTAGTTCACGACAAAATAACACTTCAGCCCATTCTCTTAGTTGCAAAGTCAAGTACGTATATGTGGTCGTCGGTGAACAGTCCGGCCCCTGTGAACAGTTACAGGTCTTGCAACCAGTCATACAGTCTAATATACCCTTTCATCCAGCCACAAAACCAACAACCAGTCACGGTTTCGAGTGTGGTCCATTACCAAGTACAAGAAATCCATCCGAAGGGAGAATCTAACATGCTGTTCATTACAGACTCCATTACCATATACATGTCCTGTTATGTAGACAAACACTAGAGACGAAGGGCTGTGAAGCTGTACAAGTTTAACACATTTCAGCAAACATCAGACAGCAGCGTTCACAGCTACTTCGAGCTGCCCCGCCTGCCTTGTTTGTGTCATGTACTTATGTTATACTTCTGCAATCAGTTTTATTTCTCTTTTCAAACCAGACATTGCAGCCAACGATGCTGCAAGACCAAACCAAGACAAATACATCATCTAACATTCTGTAAACTTACCATAGTGTTAAGTATGACATCAGTGTGTATATTCATCACTGCTTGGCTGGCAACAGGTCTTTGAACACGCCAATGTGATGCGGATAATTGATCAGCAAATCCGGGATAAAGTGTCTGCTTCTCTGCGAGTGCCGAGCGCCATGTTCGAGTACAACCTTTCAAGAGAGCAAGAAATAGTGGTGTAATTCAAAAGTGTAGCTCATAAAGGGGATAAATGTCTCTATAGTCAATCCGTCACTGAATATCATCTTCAGAAGGGTCAGACTAAGTCGTACTACGAGACTAGCGCAACAGGAGGCAGTAAAAACACTCCAAACTCTCATCGTGTACATGTGATGACCAGGATCAAACTCGTCGTGAAAGCGACCATACATTGAGTTCAACAAGCTAAACGCTGGACTCCGAAATATTCTAGAAAGCTGTCAGGGTTGTACTCACTACACTGTTGAGCTTGAGGGGACCACGTCTCGTCCTGCAAGGGAGCTGATACCCTTGTTAGTTGAGCAAGAGTAGCGCCTCTTCTCGCATCGTACACTGTAAAGGGTCTGCAGTGCTTCGCGTACTGTGGACTCCGTACCCTTTTGGTGGGAAATCGGCTCTGCCATCTGCTGCTATGTTTGGGGGAATAGCCCGCCTTTGGTGAAGCCACAAGAATGACAGCTACGATTCCCGCCAGCTGCAATGCATCTCAACTACCGCATCGCGGACCAAGGTAATGCCAGCATATGGAGATGATTAATATTCACATTTGGGTGAGCGGACTCCCCGTATTGATCGCTGTACTACATTCTAGTTTGGCTGATTGCACCACTGTTTGAAATATAGAAATAATCCTTACGCATTCTTGCCGCTGTATAGTTTTGATCACATAATGTAGCATATAAAAGGAGCTGTTTTGCTGACATTCATCCTCGACTCTTGGGGAGCACACTACTCCCTCGATTCACTCTCGATCCTGGGAGAGTCACTTCGACTCTCCCCTGCTCTGTCTGGGTCTTTGACTCTTCGCGCTGATCTTTCGATCTAGCATAGCAATAGTTCAATAAACACGGTTCAGGTGGAATTAGAAACCTGTCGTTCTGTGTGAGCTAGCTAACTTGGATGGCGACTATATTGGTCGTCTACCTGGGAGTCTGGGTAGCCACTAGACTGATCTAAGCCAGGTCACAAACTCGCAATGCGGCCGTGACATACAAGCTCTTTTCTTCCCACTGTCACTAAAGAATCAAGACACACATCATCAAAATCAAATCACTAGCACTGGAACTCACCGGAATAATATAGCATCCTTGAGATTTCAGTGCCAATGCTGCAAGAGTATCATACCCGTTAGGTGTACGTACAGGATGACGTAGTAACCGAGTGTCACTCACACCCAGACATGCCACAACATTGAAATCATGACGTCTAGCTTCAGTCATATCTACTGATACACCATTGTACACATCAGCTGGATACGCTTCAGTCTCCACTGGTTTATAGTCTCGGTTGAATACGCAGAATGCTTGAACTGGCACACCATCAACCAGAGAAATGCCAGTGGTGTACTTTGAGCCAATGAAGTATGACAGCATGTCATGCATTCGACCTGAATACCGACTTGCCACAGCCTTTCGGAACCGCACCAAACATGTTTCCAATATCTGTAGCCGCTGGTCGTTAGTACCAGGGAGGGTGTTGTGCAAAAATAGCAGTTGGACATGGCGAGGATCGCATTCTGCACAGAAGTCAGGGTAGAGAGAATTGAGAGGAACAAACAGTGGTATGGACAGAGACCAGCAATATCTCAGAATGTGAAAATGAAAATTTCAAGCGGTAGTTGACATTTGGATGTGATCATTGGTCATATTCACACCAACTCTACTTGTGTTACTCCTCACACTTAAAAGTCAGAACACTACATGAGTCATCGTCGGTGTGTGACTTAATAATACTGTATACATACGTAAGTACATAATGTCTGTCCTGTTTACAAACATACATGGCTTTACACGAGTATGTTACTCAAGTTGTCATGAGTATATTTTAATCGGTCGCATTCTTCAATCCAGTGCATACGTAGATATCGTATTCACGTGCATGCAGGGACATGCTCTTAGACACAAAATGTTTTGCCCGGAAAGAAATGTTTCGGATACATGGACATGTCCTTCAATGCGAGTACTCGGGACTTAAAATTATACACTCTTGGTTATATTTATAGTAAAAATAGGACCAAGGAACTACAAGTTATGCTATAATGTCCACTAACACCACCAGTTACTTGACAATCAGCTCATGCGATAACATTGCACAAAACTGAACGACCGTACTGATGTTATAAAGTAAAACCTGTAATGGCGACCACTCGGATATGGCGACCACTCGGCCTTGGCGACCACTTTTCCTTTTCACGGATGCATTCACATTCAAAACAGCTCGGATATGGCGACCACTCGACCATGACGACCACTTTTCCTTTTTTTCTTATTTATTCACAGTCACGTGGCACTAGCCAATGAAATGGTGATGTGGGCGATAGCCAGCCATGGCGGTAATACAGCTAGAGGGGAGAAAGAAAAAGAATGAAAGGGGAACTGAAAAGCAAAACAAGCTAGGGCAGGGCTGGATATCAACTAGTATGTTGCATTCTGCAGTAGCTGTGTGAATGTATTGTAACATTGGCAGGATTTTAGATGTTGTGGGAGGAGAGACCAATGGCGGTAAGCAAGGAAGAGAGGAGATGTTTGCATAGAGGCAGACCGCGCAATAGGGAAGCGGAGAGAGTTTCTGGTGCGCATGTCTTGAGATTGAGCAAACCAGCTTAGGCAGGAGAGAGCATGAAGAGGAGCAATGCCCAGCTTAATTTTATGAATTGTCTGGCATGCCAAAAAACGCACGCGGACCGAGAGCGGCACAGCAGAAGCAAGGCGGTATAAGTCTGCGCTTGGAGTCAGGCGAGGAAGCCGAACTAATATTTTCAAAAGACGCCTATGCATAACTTCGAGTCGAGCAATCAGTGTTTTAGAAATGCCAGCCCAAATTATGCAGCAGTAATCAAAAATAGGCAGAATGTAAGATGTGTAGATAACATGGCGACAGTCGGTGTGCAGGTGGGTGATGTGTGATGAGAGAAATCCCATTACTGAGCTAACACAGCTGTCTAAATTTTCGATCTGGGATTTCCAGGTTAAGTGTTGGTCAATAATGACGCCAAGATGCTTGTGTTTTTCAATGATGCAGAGCGGGGTTGTGGTGCCTGGAAAGGTGAAGGGACTGGTTACTAATGAAGATAGGTCACAGGAACAACTGGGGGGGGGGGGGGGGGATACACATTACAGCAGTTTTCGAAGAGTTGGGCTGCAATCTCCATTTTTCCATCCAATGAATAACGCCATCTATGTTGGACTGTAACTTGGCACTAGCCTCGGGGAGAGTGGGTGCTGTCACAAGTAGTGCTGTATCATCAGCATATAGTGATGTGTGATCCATTTCTGCCAGATCGTTTACATACATAAGAAAGAGGAGAGGCCCCAGGATTGATCCCTGAGGAACTCCAGACCGTACATGCCCTTTGGCAGACAGAGCAGAGCCGACACGCACCCTTTGCTGTCTGCCCGTCAGGTAAGTACTGAGCCACGTGAAGCAAGTACCATGGATTCCATGGCGCGACAGCTTGTATAGGAGCCCGCGTGTCCATACTGTGTCGAAGGCCTTGCTTAGATCAAAGAAACATAGCATGCTGTAATGGCCGTTCTCACGAACAGAAGACATCGATTGAACAAGTCTGAGAAGCTGCCAGGACGTAGAGTCGCCTTTTCGGAATCCAGACTGGGACGGATTTAGAACAGGAGACAGGTAAGTGTATAAGTGGTTGTACATAATGCGTTCACACAGCTTGGAGATTGTTGACAATAACGAAATCGGGCGGTAATTCGATGCATCGAGCTTACTTCCCTTGTTCTTAAAGACCGGAGTTACAATTGCGTGTTTCCAAATAGCAGGGAAAGCACCAGTTGCAAAAGTGAGGTTAAAGATGAGGCTGAGAGGGTATGCAATACTGGAACAAAATAGTTTCAGGAGTTCATGAGAAATACCGTCCGCTCCCGCAGCCTTTCGGGTCTTAAGGTTGCGGATTTGCTTTGCCACAGAAAAAGGCGTGGTGGTGACATCTTGCAACGTAGGTGTAGTTCTTCCACGTGATGGGGCGTCGGGTGGCTTGAAGTCTGGCACATTCCATGAAGGATCATCTTGTGTTCCAAAACAAATAAACTGTTCGTTCAAAGCATCTGCCACATCCACAGGGTCAGAATATAGAGTACCAGCGACTGAGAGCTGAGTTACAGTCGTTCTGCTGTTGCCTTGGGGAGATCGAAGCTTCCGGACAAACTGGAATAGACTTGGTGATGCGGGTCTTGCCGTGGATGCACTTAGGGATGAGATGTACAGTCGATGGGCAGTTCTAGACATATTGCGAGTATCGTTTCGCTCTCGTCTGTAAAATGCGAAGTTGTAAGCCGAGGGAAACTTTCGGTAAACACTATACGAATCTCGCTTTTTCTTTATTTGATGTCGGAGGGTACTGGTCAGCCAGGGGGGGGGGGGGGGGGGGGTTCATATGGATACGCTTGACAGCCGGCGGCTTCTGCCTGGGAAGAAATCTTGCACAGATGTTATGGAAGATAGAGTAAAAGTTGTCCACAGATATGTCAGGATCGCGCCTCTCCAGGCTCAAAGCTGCTGGCCAATGTATGTGGGACATGGCAGTATTCATACTCGCGACAGTGTTGCTGTCTAGAGAATCCAAAGAAAATACACTAAAATCAGGGACATCCAGGGGAGTCGAACGAGCATCACGAGAACGGTATGTGGGCATTTCTGGGCAGGGTACAGTACGGATGTGGCCAACCACGATAGAATGATCGGATTGACCAAGTGGTGCTGTATCAGTGACAACTAGGTCGAGAGCTGCCCCCATGCCAGACAATGACTCATGTGTTGGAAAATTTACGAGCTGCGTGAGAGAGAACATGCCGAAAAGACTGTGAAGCTGGCGACCAGCGGCATCCGTGGTAGTTCCATGCCAATGACATGACTTAGCATTAAAGTCTCCCATCAACATGATAGATGTTGTTCGGTTCTTAAGAGTACTTAGACAGTGCTGGAGGGAATTGCAGAAGGTGTTGATACTTGATGGAGTAAGGGCTGGTGGTCGATATACTGCACCAATAACCAACTTCTTCACATGAGGCGCCTCTGGGAAATGTATGTTAGCAGATGACAGGGCTATTTCCACCCATGTGGCTTCCAGGAGAGGGATACTGAGGTCAGATCGATGGGTGACCTTTGGAAACATCCCAGACCGTACCATGATACAGACGCCGCCATATGCATGGGTGGCATCGGTAGCTGACCTGTTTTCATCTGGCGGACGATCTCGGCGAAAACAGTCCTATCCAGGGACCGTGAAAGACGACTGTGGAGAGAGCCATGTTTCCGTTATGCAAACAATGAGGGGTTTAACTGTGGAACAAATGTGAGCCAGCTCGGCAGTCTTGTTCTTAATGGACCTGGCATTGATGCACATTATAGGCTGTTATCCTGCGGTTGGCTGTGAAAGTGGGTAAAAAGGCTGAGCTAATGGATTAAGTGTGCTATTAGTAGTAATGTTTGGGGAACAGTGAGGAAGTATCGGGGGGTTGAGGTTCATTATTGTGCAGACTGATCGACGGTTGTGTTGTCAGCTGTACTTATTCTGTCAGCCTTGAATCGCCATTCTCGAGCTGTCACTCCGTCAGGCCAAAAGTCAGTGTTTTGCACAGCTTCCCAGTCATCTGCTGTGACGACTACGTGCGCGTACGCTAGGCCAAAGTACTTTGTCTCAGAGACGGAGCACTTCAGTACAGTCACTTGCTTGTTTTCGCACCATTTTGCGATGGAGGAAGCAGAGCAACCAGGGTGAATTCTTCCAACATGAACAGCTTTGCATTTGGTACGATGGGCACTGCGCAGTTGCTCATGTTTGCGGGGTGGGCGCTGGTAGTATGAAATGACGTTTGTCCGGAGATCAGTATGTGTCCCCGTATTGGAGGTAGCTGACTGTGTCATGGGAGAATGCGATGGGAAGTGAGCTTTGGGACATGCAGATACTACTTTTGCACTGTACGAGTACGGGTTGACTGCAGAGTGCGTATTCCGTGCCTGTGCTGCTGCATCCAGCTCAGGAGAGACTTCTGCTACGGGTACGCTAAGTACGGGTGCGTCAGGTGCGGGTGTAACCTTTTTGAATTCCGAACTGCCAATTTCTCTCTTCAGAACTTCAATTTCGGCGTGGAGGGCTGAAATTTCGGCTTTTTGGCCAACCTTCAGTGCCACTATTTCAATGCTCAGGTTTTCAATACAGGTCGTGAAAGATAATAATGCATTCTCTAGCCTGGATACATACGTTCCGGCTCGTGCATCCACACCAAATGCCCGGAGGCTCTCCACCAGCTCAGCACGGGACAGCTTACTCACGCCCTCTATGCTGTGTTTTGTTGCCAGTTTCCGCAGGTCGTCGAATCCCTGCAAAGCTAAGTCCTGGGTCCCCTGGGCATCCGACCCGTCAGAGTCCATGCCTACCAACTACTACTACCCGCTACTATACTCCAGACCGGCCTGATGCCGGCTGGGCTACTGGAAATCTACAAAGACTACGGAGCTCTAAAAACTCAACCTGACCTCACCTACATCTCAGATCCAACGCGTTATTTCACGGATGCATTCACATTCAAAACAACTCGGATAAGGCGACCACTCGCTCAATGCGACCAACGACCACCCACCCGCGACCACGTTGCACAGTGCTAGTACATGTAAATGTACGCATTGCATAGTGCACCATGCATGGTAGATCTACACATCAGTGCAGGCAGGAAGTGTAGACGTACATGGTGCATGCACGACACTTGACAGGTCTGAGGACCCCAGGCACATGAGTAGTGCTAGAGTAGCATAGGCGTGTGCACTGTGATACACTGATCAAAATGATGTATCACATGTGGATATGGTCACGTGACCCACTGAACCTGGATAAGAAGACCACCTGGCCCGGCACGGCGACCACTTTTTCTCTTCCCCTGACGGGTTGCCTTAGACAGGTTTCACTGTATATGATTTAATACAAATTCTACCTATCTAACTTCACACCGGCTCCAGTTACATAAACCAGGATTACATCTGATGTATGGCGCTGATCTTGCAAGTACATGCATAGAATCACCGCTTCACCTTATTTGCCCTTAAATTCTCTGATTCCACTAGCACCTTACCACACTATATCAAGAACATTCATTGAGTTTTTGTACTCATTGCTGTCTGATGATCGCCACAGGCGTGAAACTCTGAGTCACAGCCAACCCAAGCTCCGTATCCCATTCTATTCTTTTTGTATGATTCAATATCAAACCTAAGCCTGCCATGACAACTTCATTGGAAACTCAAGTTTGAATCATTCAACATACACTCTAAAACATCCAACACCATTATGTATGTGAAAGCATACATTCCTTAGCAGTACACACTGTGACAAAAACCACAGATTGCGCCCACAGACTGCACCCTACATGGATTCTCTGTGCTGATCATGTTTTTCAGCGAAATTCCGCCCCACATGGATTCGCTGTGCTCTTCATGTTTTCAACAAAGTCCACAGATTGCGCCCCACATGAATTTGTTGTGCTCTTCAGGTTTTCAGCAAAACCCACATATTTCATGAACCACACATGTGAATTTTGCACCACACGTACTTGGGCGTATTTCCAGAAGTATCCCGGAAGGTCAGGGACGAGGATTCACCTGGTCTGGCGCCACAAATATTTCCGTGTCACCCCAGGATGCGTGCGCAATCTGAAGATTACGCAGGCAATCTGGAATCTTCAGATTGCGTGAAAAAAATACACAGTGATTCATTATCCACATAAAGACGACATACAGGATATTGGTGTGGATGTGCATTGAAAGTCCGTGCTGCAAGGAAATACTCGTACCACCACCAGCAGACCACAAGTCTCTATTCTATAATTATGTCTTATTCTGGAATAGACTTACCGGTACTCTGTATCAGATGATCAACACTGATCAGCTTCAGCAAGGCACTGCACTCTACACCACACAGTGTACAGTAGAGAAGTAGTGAGAGTACTTGAGTATGACGATACTTGGGATCACCTGTACTGTGTATGGTCATATAGCGATTCATCAAGTGTTGGGCCAGGTGATGATCAGGCATATTCAACTTAAACAATGCATGTGCACAATGATCAACATCTCTACATTCCTCAATGCACATGACATCAAGCTGCTGTTGTAATAACTTCGTGAATCCTGGAGTTGCACATCGGCACTTTGCGGCCCAGTAAACTGCCCATCTCAGGTGCTCTTGATTCCTGTTGTCTTGCCAGACATCAGTAGGTAGACTGGCTAGTTGATTAAGTAAAGATACTGCCAACTTTGTCACTTCAGTGTTCTCCTCATTGACAAGAGCACATGCCCCAAGTGCAACCCTAACTTTGCTTGGATAGCGTAGTTCAGTAACATGTCGTTGGATGAGGGAACATTGTGATAGTAGATAGCTGGGTTGAAAAGTGCGTGACTTCACGATGCTATCAAAGATTGAATCAATGGCATCATATGCATCATGTACCGTAGTGACTTGACGACCAGACTGATCTGATCTCCACCTAACTGACTGCCTGGACTGTGCTGATGTCTGATTCACCTTACTAGTAACACATAACCTTGATCCGCTGGTTGACTGGACTAACCGGCTCTGTACACTCACAGCATAACCACGCTGAACAAACTTACTGACAGTCTTGAGATTGCCATGTAACTTTGAAGCAAACATGTTCTCCTGGTGATGTTGTATATTCAGTAGTACACGGGTGTGTAGCGTACAGTGTATGGTGTGGATTACTGAGAATTTGTCAGAAGATTACGTACTGCCGGTCTGTAGAGAATAACACACAGTGCGACAAAATACACACACACACACACACACACACATATACACACACACACAACATACAACAGATCAGATACTAGTATACATGCAACTGTACACAATATCTACAGCCGCAGTGCTAGACATGATGAAATCCGGGATCATGAATAATACATTTCCGGCCATACAGCGGTGCACAACCCAATGTTGGAAGGTCTACGGCTGCACAGTGTCCAGTACTAGCTGACTTACATGAACCAGATTTCAGTGACCAACACTTACTGCCTCAACCAGATCAGTCACGAAGGACATGATTCGTAAAACTGCTTTTGGGGGTTTTCAGTAAAATGCAAAAGATCACTTCAGTCAGTTTATAACTACACGTACACGTGTTGTTTGACTTGAAAACAAACTTCAGCCAACCACATCGAAATTCCCTGGCAATTTGGCCTAACTAAGGATGAGTGAACGAGTCACCAACATGTACCCGGCGTACTCGTTCTCTACTACATGTATTCTTAGGAGTTGTTAAACCTCTCGATTTTTTCGTCGGCCGAAAGGTCGGATAGGGTGGTAAGATTATGCATATCCGATACACAACACTGTATGACATTGCCACATTGGGCGCGTTCGATTACACACTGTAAAAGCCATAATTATAACGAAGTGCTAACTCTAACGAGTTAGCGAGGAGAAATCTGTCGTTAAAATAGAAATCGTTATACAGTAATTTATACATATACTGTCCTATTGAGCGTTGGGAATAGGTGAGAATCGTTACCTTTGGTACACGTAAACCAGTCGATTTTGGGAAATCGTTATATATGCGCCTTGTTAGAATAATGGCTTTTACAGTAGTTGCTACAGTCTTATGTCTTCCCGAAAACCTATTTGCCGCAGTTGAGTTTCCGCTGGGGCTGATTGTTAGAACAGATCATTTTGGGTGGTCCTTTCGCACACAGGTTCAGCTTTATCGAAGCCCAATATTGTTGCCGACATGGAGCCTTCACGATCACCGGGATGGACCGGTAGTCCGGTACGCGAAGCTGGGTCCACGTGCGCGCGAGGGTGTACGTGATCTCTTTTTACGATCAATTTTTTTTGTGATATGCCATGAATAAAATGCGTTGTGAATTCTGGTTGTTCGTTTACATAGCCGGAATTCACACATTCTGGTCATTCGAGAAGTACAAAACCCAGTTCCAGAATTGTGCAAACTTGTAATGGAAAGCGCCCATTGAAATCCGGAAAACTCGAACGCACTCAGCGGTCTCAGCCCGGCAGTCAACTATTGTTTCTTCAACATTCATCTTCTTTTTTGTACATACATAATTCTCTTACCCCAGTAAGTTTTGAAAGCGGTATGCTACAGTTGCACAGTGAATAGAGATGTTCCGCACTGCGCGGATTACCACAGCAACACTGTTGTGAATGTAACAAAACTATTATGCACGTCAGTAGCCAATAGTGCACCTTCTCAGCGATCGACGCCAGGATAAGGAATATTCTTCAACTGATGATATAAACCAGCGAGTGCCACTAAGTCCTTTCTGACCTTAGCATAACAACACGCTAGCGCTAGCTGGTAGATCTAACATTATGAAGGCGAGATCGAGGTGCTCTTGTTGTTTCTTGTTTTTTCAATTTTTTGTCCTTGTTTTTTTTTAGCGCAAATGGCCAAAATTTGCAAAAAGGCTTTTGATAACACACGCGTCATCACTCACGTGTCAAACCTCACGGTGACCTTGGTGACCTAGTAGTGTAGTACATGGACACGGTCCGTAGATCTAGTCTGCAGCCGTAGTGTAGCTCGGGTACAATCATAATCAGTCGGTGCATGCATGATTTTATCTGACTGCTGAGTTGGCGCTATACCAGTACTAGATCTACCCCAAACAGATAACACAACTTCACAAGCCGCACTCCGCACATTACGCTAAACATGACTGTATTCATCCGGATGTAAGTATTCATCTGGATAGACCCCCCCGTAGATCCACTTATTATTCTATACGAGATCAAAGAAGGAAAAATTATTCAGAACCGAGCAGCAGTGATATCCTGGACATCCGTACACTACATGACATGCACATGTAGAATAGTGATTTGTTGATGCGAAACAAGAGAGCCTGGTCAGGACCATTGCTAAGATCGGTCTATGTTAGTTCTATATCCTCATGCGAACAAGCCACGTCACCGGGCTACAACACACGTGGTTGGTCACAATCCGATCTCACATGGTCGTGCCGTGCCGCCTTACAGACCCCCCCCCCCCCCAAAAACACACACACAAACACAGATCACGGCAGACGCCACTACCATTTTTAAGTTTTAAACATGTAGCTCAGTCAAAAATCAGGATCCTGGCTACTCCAGATGCTACATGTACTACGTGTACTATGGACAATGGCAGCGGAAAACACACATGTGGAGGATTCACAATAATAATATCAAGGTACATGATTGTACAAGCACGCACAAAGAAAAAATATGGGAATTGAATGCACAGACACGCAAACATTCACGCACAAACTCAACAATGCCTTGATTTCAAAAACACAATCAACACGCATACTGCACTCGCACTAGCAGCACTACCCTCTCACATACGATGTACTCAGTTACTCGGTTACTCAGCCAATGGAGTGGAATTCAACAAGAGGCAGCACCAACTTCCTCAGTGATCAGCTCAGCAGAAAAGTGGCAAGAAATCGAAGAAATGAAAACTTCAATCACAAGACCAAAAGAGATGTCCACGACTTTCTTAGTAATCATAAAACGGACCTCATATTCCAGTCTTACATGATATCACACACTTCATAACGGCACAACCCGACATAGTATCCTGCTGTCCAGAAATATCTGAGAGAACACAGAAGAATCACACAAACAGCAAATACAATTGTTTGTGATCGGGAAAGTATTACACAGCTCACTCCACTCTCCATGGTGGTTGTCCAGTTTCTTTCCCGACCTGGCTAGCTACTTGTACATGCATCTCTGTTCCAGACTGCTATGATGGCAAGAGTACATAAAGCAGAATGTGCGACTCTGTAGATGGGTTCTGGACAGTAGAATTCTCCGTTTATATACGTTTTGATTGGTCATGGATGATCCACTTCTATACTCTTGCTCTGTATCAATCAGACCTGTGATATCAGACGGCAAAGATTACGTAAACGATATGGTGCACTTCTGCATATTTTAAAAGGGCATGTTCGATTGGTAAGGATCGGGATCGGGATCCCGATCTCAGATCCGTCGGATCCTTCAGAGTCAACTGAACACTTTATTTTGGACCTTGACTGTTGCCATATTGACGAAGTAATAGAATGGCGCTCACAAGTCACCTAAAAGGGTGAAAGTCGTACTCATCGCACACATCCTACAAAAAGTCAGCAAACTCTATCTCAATCCACGTATGCGTACCACCATGTGAACAAAAATGATTTTCACCCGCCATATACGCACAAAGGTCACATTCGGATCCGTTGGATCCGGCCAACCCTGCTCCCCGAGGTGGGTTGACCGGATCTGAATCCGAAGGATCCATATCCGGATTCGACCAATCGAAAGGGTGCGAATCCAGTGGATCCGGTGGGTCGGGATCCCGATCCTACCAATCGAACATGCCCTCAGTCTAGTTTACTGTGTAGGACTCCGGGACCAGTCTAGGCCCTGTGACCAGTCCAGGCCCTGTGACCAGTCCAGGCCCTGTGACCAGTCCAGGCCATGTGACCAGTCCAGGCCATGTGACCAGTCCAGGCCCTGTGACCAGTCCAGGCCCTGTGACCAGTCCAGGCCCTGTGACCAGTCCAGGCCCTGTGACCAGTCCAGGCCCTGTGACCAGTCCAGGCCATGCGACCAGTCCAGGCCCTGTGACCAGTCCAGGCCCCGTGACCAGTCCAGGCCTTGTGAGTAGTACAGGCCTTGTGACCAGTACAGGCCCTGTGACCAGTCCAGGCCCTGTGACCAGTCCAGGCCCTGTGAGTAGTACAGGGCCTGGGAACAGTCACTGGTCATATAACCAGTCATATCGTCAACAAAAAAACTAATGCTCTGTGACTAGTCGCAATACCAAACAAACATGGGTGAACCAATCACAGTTTTTACTGTGCTCCACCCCCCCCCCCCCCCCCACACACACACCAGTCACAAGGAACCTATCAGAAAGGAATCTGTCAATATTCTCAATACATAGTCCACTACACAACTCTAGGGGTTCACAATACCTACTGCTAATCAGCACACTCCTTTATTGTGGTACAGCCTCCTGGAACACATCATGGTCAGCCAAGATATCGGGTATTCTTCTACTGATAGACTTGAGGAGATCTTGTATTATCACCGGTGGATAGTTAGATTTGGGGTTACCCTGCGCACGGGGTTCTCCCCTGAAAGCGGACCGCGCGCAGACTGTGCAGGTTGCACCACTGTGCGCATGTATGCATGGACAGTCTAACCATTTCCCGACGACAATAGCGTTGTGGTGCCCGGTTTCGTTATGATTTGTATTGACCGTTTACAGGTTTGGTTGTGTGATAACGAGGAAGTTCACTACTTCTAGGTTAACATTGATCGTAATCTTCAACCTATGACACTTCCACAGGCCATCAGTCTCACTACCCGTTGTATTCATCAGCATAGCGAAGTCACCACCACGATGTAGCCAGATCGATTCCTTGATGATGTCCTTTTCTAGTTCGGTCAGATCGAAGGAATACGCCCAACAACTCGCATACCTCACTCCCATCAAAGAAGCCAAATCCACTACATTCTATTAATGTTCTGCTATCAGTTATAGCAAGAGTACATAACCCCCAAGAGTGTTCAACTGCCTGCACAACCTCTATGCTGTGCTGCGACGGCAGAACTTCACATCACGTGACATGGTTCAAAAGGTTATGCTGGCAAACAGTGCAAAGTGACCACAAGAGAGTTGTA